AAAGGTTCAGAACCATTTTCTGAAATGATGAGTGGAGGGGTGCTTATGTTTTGTTTGACATTAGCTGAAATACGTACGGTTTACTGCTGACATTTTTGGATCGTCGAGAAGCGTCATATACACGGAATGGAATGCCAGATATATTGTGGACACTTCCTGTCGATACATAAAGATATACAACAAAACACTACAGAACCACATAATCGTCAATTGTAAACATATTTCACTTTCCGGTTTGCAACAGAGAAGTGCAAGTCCACCCCTTCGGATTCACCAAACAAGTACGTTTATACGAAGCTGATGCAAACTGCCAGCCTTTCACGTGTTACTGCTGTTGCTACGCACATGAGCTTACAAAAATACGTGGTAAGTGTTGTTCGCACGTACGCACGTACGCATGTACGCGCGCACGCCCGCCCGCACGTATGCATGCGCATACACCCACACGCACCCCCCCCCCCCCACATATATATATATATATATATATATATATATATATATATATATATATTCACATCCCTGTAAGGGAAAGCCAGAAAACAGAACAGAAGTGGACTTTACCCGAGAAGTTTCTCATAACTATCCTCTTATGGCGACTTCCAAGACCGGCCTCCCGAAACATTTTGAGAAATCGACACCCGTGGTTAAAGGTGACAACTACGCGTAGTGGTGTCAATTTGTACCCTTTCGGGGTACGCCCCCCCCCCCCACATCCAGAACTGACTTGAGCCCCTCAATGCTCTTCTGAGTCCCCCCCCCACACACCCAATGCATATGAGCAAAGAGGAAATACCGGGCCAGTGAAACACAGCAAGTGTCCGGACTGCTGGTACACAAGGTACATAAACGCACCGCTATCAATATCATCATCATAATCATTGACAGAACAATTTTAGAGCCGACTTAATGTACTTTTAATTCTTTTTTCGCATAAGGGGCGCAAATAAAAGTGGCAAGCGTCAGGGGAGAAATTAGGATTTGAGGATGGCTTAGGTACACTTTATTGGCTCAGCCCCCCCCCCCCCCCACCCCTCCCCAACCGCTTTAAGGAAGTGACACCTATGACAATGCGATTCACGCAACGCATCGTTGGTAATGCGTAATTAATAACGAAAGATCATAGTACCCTTCCAAACGGCGACATGCCAATCGGAAACGAACTCCCGCTCTGATTCAAACATGCGCAACCTTTGCTGACGTCGCAGTCTCACGCGCATGTACTCATGACGTGTGTCCCATCCCTTCACCACAGATGCTGCCTCTATGTCAGTCTGCCCCTCCCCCCTCCCCTCATTCTTCTGCCTGTGTAAACACTGAGTACGGGGTCATCCATGTGACCCGCAGTCTCCAGCTTTGTGACACCCGGAGACGAAGCCAATGGCGACTCGCTTATAAAGTCTGTCGAGCAGGCGATACGGTCGTTGTGGTTGGTGGCATCACAGCTGTTGTCGGTCGAATGGTGTGGCCATACCTCGGTTTGTTCCCGATCTCACCATCGAACGGTCCTGACCGGGGCTTCTTGACGCATCTCCTCGACAGACTCAGCGAGCACGGCGAGATCGATGACTCCCGAGTAAGCCCCGACTAAGCGCCGGACTTACGGAGCCAAATCTCGTGAGCAGCTGGACGCAGCGGAACAAAATGCGGATGCCACTGAAAGGCGGACTGGGCGAACGTGGAATTGATGCAAGCCACTACGTGTCTGCTTGGTTCGAGATTGAGTATCACCCGCATTGCCAGGACTCCCCAAAAATATGACCCGCAGCGACCACGTACTCGAGATTTGCCTCCGTCCGTACAACGCAAGACGCGACCGGTTTCCCGACGCGATGGACAACAAAGCTCATTCATCCGGCCGTGCCTCCCAATGCTCTCGAAGAGATTCCCCAAGAAGCCTCGGCCCCAAGTGTCCGATGCCGAGATCCGGCATATACCGAGGCGTGGCCATACGGTTGGCCGGCATCAGCTGTGACGCCACCAACCATAATGATCGTATCGATTGGTCGAAAAACCCTACAAACGAGTCGCCATTAGATACGTCACCGAGCGTCACAGACCTGCAGAAGGCGGGTGACGTGATACCCCCGTACCCAAGCACACACATACAGAAGAACGAGGAGGGCAGACTGACACGCCGGCGGCGGTTCTCAGGCTCAATGCCCGTCATAATTGGAACAGCTGATCAAATTCCTGCGATATGCATCACAAAATGCGCTTCGTGCTTAAGGCTTGCTGTCAGCGGCTTGAACTGGCTATTGACCAACTGTGGTCTGCTGATGTCACGATTTACGCGGACGCACTCAAGATACGAAAACTCCAATGGCCGTATTATTTTAGACTTTGGGCACAATATGGGCATTGCGTGGGAGATAATTATGATGTTTCTATGACGTCATATATCTTTGGGAAGCTTCATATCAGGCGGCGCGAAACAGTCCGCACAAGTGGGCGCGCGTCTAGCTCAGAAACAAGGGGCCATATAGAGGTCATATAACTATAAACTGCAGAGGACAATCCTGAAAATGTCTTTCTCGGTCCAAAGCCCCATACAAACGTAGAGCAGTCTCCTTACGTTTCGGGCGGCAATAGGACAGCACAGCACAGCACAGCACAGCACAGCACAGCACAGCACAGCACAGCACAGCACAGCACATGACAGAACGGGACAGGGTGGGACAGGACAGGACAGCACAGGACAACACAGGACCACACAGGACAACACAGGACCACACAGGACAACACAGAACAGCATAGCACAGCACAGCACAGCACAGGAAAGGACAGGCTGATGAGGAATGATACAAGCGCCGAATTGCGGACCCATAACGTCCAAAACAACTGAAGCCGTTCTCATCCCACGGTTTGGAATGCATGGTAAGTTTGGCCGTGACCACCACTTATTGAGATCATTTCATAATTCATAATTCAAAAGTTAGCATTTGTATCAGTTTATTTTCGTCGCCGTCACTGTGGCTTCACGATATACTCAGCTGCTGAAGCTTTAGAGTGTCACCTGGCTCTCATCCTGGCAGGAAGGACGGGCGCTGTGGGGAACAAAACCCCGCATCTCTGGTTTCCCAGGCGCGCGATGGTGGAAGGGAGAGCCCCACATTTCTATGGGGGGGGGGGGGAGGGAGGGGAATGAGATGAAATAGCCACTTTGAAGATCATTCGGCGCAGTTCACAGCGCTGCCCTTCTTAAGACCTAAATCCCTCTATCTCCTGAGCTATACGCCCACGAAGATGTGCACACTATTTCGTGCAGGCCATTTCAAGGCCATTCAGGCACCCATGGCACCATAGCAAGGTCGTTAAAATCCTGCCACCCCACAGGTCAGGCGGCGTTCAAGGCAAAAAGGAGATTATTGTCGAGCCGCCGAAATCTGACATCCGTGAGCACGATTCCGAATAGAGGGAAGGTCAATTGGGACTCAAGCAATATTGAGCAGGCTATGCAATTTGAAATCACGAATGACGCTTTCTGCCGCGTGACATAAGAAGTTGGACATGATTGGTGATTATTACGAAAAAAAGACTTGTGAAATAATTTGCCAATAAAGCAATAACCGGGAATGTGAATGCAAAGAAACATTTAATGCTCACCAATAAATATGCAATAACATCACGCGGAAGGGCCAAAATACAAGTACATAACAATATTTGGCTCAGTAAACACTTTCAGCCCGTTTCGCCATCTCTCGACGAATAGGAAGTACTACAAGAAAGTTGCAACTTTGCATAGGTAGTTTTCGCAGTACCTTAGCTCCATAAAAATGTTCTATGATGCAATCAAATAATGGCACATTTGGAAGAATATTTACTTAACAGAAACGATGTGTTCTCTAGAGCAGCCTTTCACTTAAAGCATACCAAAAGTCATAAGTGAGTTCACTTCATCAGATATCATGCTTGTTTCATTATCTTCAAATGTGGATCATTCCCTTAACAGAGAGTGTTCCACATTTGTATGGGATTTTGAACTGAAATAGCCCTTTTGAGGATCATTCGGTGTAGCTCACGGCCCTGCCCTTCTAAAGACCTAAACCGCCCTAGTTTCTGGGCTGAACGCCCGTGAAGATGTGCAGACTATTTCGGGGAGACTATTTCAAGGGTCAACCAGGCCCCCATGGCGCCATGATAACGTTAGTAAAACCCTGTCATTCCATTACCTTTGCGGCGATTAAGGCCAACAAAAAATTGTGGAATTGTTCAGATCTGAGCACGTAAGCACGATTTACGGACATAACGGCCGTCAATTGGCTCTCAATCAATGTTGTGCAAGTTACGATGACGTAATCAAAACAACAAAACAAAACAACAAAATAAAACGTATTGAGGAACTTATTTGCTCCACAGAGATACTGCGTTATCCCCAGCAGTCTTTTCCACCTAAAAGTATACCGATAGTTATAAGTGAGCTTAGTTCGTAATGCCTGATGCTTGCTTTAATATCTTCAACTGTGAATTATTCCCTTTAACGCAGACGCGTTAACTACCGCACTGTATGCACCATTGTACATTAATCTGCTGGCCCCCACCACCTGCTGCCCATGATCTCACAGGGTCGCCGGGTCCCAGCTATGAACACTAACAACCACGTGCGCACAGCTGCGCTCGCACCCTACCCATCCCCCCCCCTCACCCCACCCCGGGCTGAAGGAGGCCAGGAAGCGGTGTACCGCCGCCGTCTGCCGGTCAGGCCTCGGTTCGAAAATGGGACTTTGAACGTAACATGGCGAGGGTTGGCGAAGTGGCATGGATAGGTACAAGTGCCCATGCTTTTGAGTGACATGACCCCTTCTTTAGGTTATGTAACCTTAATAAAGTGTCTTATATATGGTCATTGCATTGCCGGACCTGCCCCCACAAAAGTATAGTGAGCCCAGCCAAGCTTACAGACAGCTCCCTTGTCCTTGGAAGGAGTTGGCACAAACTCTGGCCTGCACCCTTCCCCCCCCCCCCCCCCCCTCCCTCTTCATGCAGAGTCCGGTCCTACTCACCCCGCCTGGGCGAGTCAGTCAGCTCCGGCGTGCTGGTGTCATCTGGCCGCCTGCAAGGTGACCCACTGGCCTCTGCCATGGCACCTGTGTGCTGCAGAGAGAAAAAGAGCTCAGCCATGGAACATGTACTTTCGTTGTTTATGTGATCTATCAGTAATCTATCAGCATTTGGTGTTTTCACACAAATGCCAGTGACAGGTCAGCAAAGGCAATCCCTTTGAACAAGGCAATCCCAGCACTTTGAGCATCCACAGAAATTTAGGCAGCTCAGAGCAACTGGTCATTTGCTCCTGCCTTCCTTTTTCCCCAAGAGCGCAGAACCCCATCAGAAGGCTTCTAGTCTCCTCTATTGGATAAATGAAGGATTAATGAAAATTATTTCTATAAGAGACAGAACCCATTTGCATGAAAACCACAGTGAATCTAAATGGCTGAAAACAGAAAGATTAGGGTGATAGAGTGAATGAGTGGGCTCACATAGTGATGATTTTTATTAAATCAGGCTTGTCAATATTTACCTTACATACCAACTTACACTAGCCTGGCATAACCAAACCTGCACTGATTTTTCTCCATTCTATTAGCTCAGTTAGTTAAGAACAACTGACTATCCTGACATTGCAGAGGGGGCTTCTTCTTCAAAAGTCAGAACTCTCCTGACATTGGTGTAAAGAGGCTTCAAGTTGCTTTGACACACTATACATATTCTTCTCTTGCTAACAGCAACTCAGTCAGCAAAACATCCATCCACTGCTCATTGATGCCATATTATGCTGAATCTCCATACCATTTATTGTGAAAAAATGTTTCAGAGTATTTCTGCCCGCAAATTGCCTTTCCAAAATCACGACTCCTTGAAAGGTAGGCTCTGTTAGCATTGAAAATGATGTCAAATGTCACCGCACTTGAAAAGCTCAGATTTATATCACATGCAATTGGAGCATGAAATGAAAAAAACCTGGAGTTGCTTTGTCAAGTTACCTTTATCAGTAATCATCAGAACTTTGATATAAATCGTGACTTACCGCTGTCGCAACAACAGCTAATGTATGATACACCTGTCTAGCGGAAATTACGGGGTCCAGGCGGCCTCCGACTCCCTACCACTGCTCGAGTACTGTTTTCCAACATTGCTCCTCGCAATAACAACATTATGAGCTCGAAACAAAAGCGCCAAATATGAAAACCCAGACCAATGATGTTCGATGTAGCCAATGTGAGCAGCGTTGGGCAAATTAATTCGTCCTCTTCTAGCGTGAGCAATATATAGCGCAATTTATTGGACAGCTTATGTCCGACGCTTGAAGAATTGCACGTACCGTGCACTCCAGTCAGTCAGTATCGTATTTTTAACCTCAGTAGCGATCACCAGTCTACGGTACACGTTCGTCATTAGCCAGAAGGCACCAGGGCGGGTAGATAGAAGCTCCGCTGATGAGCATTTACGGCCTGAGGCAATGTTTTCCAGCTGCTGATTGCCCCCGTATCTAGATTTGGGAAGAACACGCTAAAGAGGAGGTCGTACGACACCGTTTCGTATTTGTGTTGGATGAATGCAGAGATGGAGGCTGGATTAGAATAGTTTAGCATGTGGGAGTTGATTTTGTCAAAAGCCCGAAAATGCAAATTCACTAATTGCAAACCATGGAAAGCTGTGTTGAAATGTGCTGGAATTTTATGTAACATAATTTGCTAGTTTTGTTTGTGTCTCATGCATGTATGTATCTATATGCATATGTATATAATATATTTACATGATTTGGTGCAGCATGGTTTCTTTGCTGTCAAGCACCTTATATTTTTTGTGGTCTGGGCTGTTACTCATTACCAGCAAACAGGTAATCAGACTACATGAAATGTACCTGGTTGGTGAAGGTGGAGTTCTCAGTTAATGCAAAGCAGAGCATCAGGTACCATTTAGGGTCAAGACTATGGATCATTTATCATTTTAGGTCAAGCCATTGCTCATTTGTTTTACTAACAAATATTTTTGGTACCCAACAGGCCAAAGGCAGCTCTTATAATGGAAAGAAGACTTTGATGCTGCTGGAGCAGACAAGCATCCACCATGCACATTGGGTCATTCGCAATTGGGTTGATTGTGGTGTACTATGTGATCACCCGTCTGCTGCCCCAGTTGCTGTCATGGCTTCTAGTCCACCGTTACAACCTGCAGGTAACTGCTGTCTTCTGGCTTTTCAGTTTATCTTATGGTTTGCCACTGATAACATGTGTAAGCCATATCTGCAAAGCATTGAAAAGGCCATTGTTAGATGTTTAGGGCAGCCTAAATTCTTCCCCTAATGGGGCATCCTTCTGCCACCTGTAAGCAAAGCATCTGCATAAGAAATGAGGCCTCTTGTAACTATAGTCATTGCTTAGCCATAACTTTGCTCAGGAGTGGGATAAATCAGCTGATAGGGACCCCTTTAAACCAAGAGGCCCCACTTCTCAGCATTATGGAAGGTGCCAAACTATGTCACTGTGGGTGCTTCTGTTGGCTTAGGATCCAATTCAGATACCCTCGTATTTGTCCTAAGCTGCCGAAAAGCACTGGGGTCTCTGCAGTATCCAAGGGAGGGGGGGGGGGCATGGCCCCAAAAGCCGACCACCCCCTTGGGTATGCCACTGACTTAGACTGCTGGTAGCTTCAGCTGGTCATGGTAATATGTACTTCCCATTCAAGAAAGCTGTGCCCCAAATTTTCCAAATGCCCCAAGCTCCATGTTTGCCCCAGCCCTGCCCAAACCAAATGTTGTTGAGAGCTGCAAAGCTGATGTTGGATCCAGTTTTACATTCATTCAAGCATCGTGACTCAGCAGGTGAAGAAGATGTGTCCCCCTGTAAGGGATCAACATGTGGTCAGGTCGCATTAACATGCACCCAGGTGGCCAGCTAGATACTGTTTGCTTGGGTGGGGGTCAATTTACCCCACCTGAGATCTTGGGAACCAAGATAGCAAGAGGCACCAGATTTACAGGGTGTGTTGACCTGTATGTGAACTCAGGTCAAAGTTTCATGTTCCTAGGTCATAAGCTTTGGGTTGAAAAAGGTCAAACAAGGTCAAGTTCCAGGTTGGTCTCTCAAGTGCCCCCAGAACCTAGATAACCATTTCTAAGCAAAAGTTCACATACTCATTTAAGGTCAGTGACCTTGTTTGACCTTTTAACTTCAAGGTGACCAAAGTGATACAAGATTGCTTTGAGTTTTGCATTTAACTAAGTGGCAAAGATTACACTAGGCAGTATGTTCCTAAAACAAAATGTTGACCTGGGCTATTTTTGGTCAATGACCTACTCTGACCTCTAAGAAGTCCATGGATGATGTATAATGTGGTTCTTGCTATCAGTAAACTCGAAATGAGCATCAAAAACAATCCCATACAGTAGCCCTAGAGTAACAAAACATGTTGGTTTTGACCTTGGTGTGACCTTCATACCTGTCCTTAGGTCAATTTAACATGTTCATTCAACTGTTGTGTTGCCTAATAAAGCGTCTCAGAGATGTATGGCTTCGTCTAACACTCTGTTGTTGGATCAGATTGAAGGATTCCCTAGAAATCGCCTTCGCTGAAACCATGGCACGACTTTGACCTGCCATAGGTCAGCGACGTTACAAAGTTCATCTAAATTTGTTATGCCAAACGGTCCGCTATTCAACTGCCTACAGCTATGCAAAATTTGGCGCGGCTGCACCGCGCCGTTAGGAAATCATTCTGGAAAAACCTTCGGGAGGTCAATTTGACCCCTCCGCCCACCCGAGCGAGTGTTAAGCCTCAGTGCTCAGGCTGGGTGGGCCACCAAGGTCACCCATGTCAGGTGGTGTGGCTTCAGCCCCATGCCAGCATGGTTCACAGCTGTCAACCAGAGGTTGGCTGCCTGCGTTCTACTGTGAGTGCCCATCTGAACAGCTCCGAAATGTCCTGGTCTGCCTGCGGTGTCTCACAGATCTCCCTGGGCAAGATCGGACTGCACCCGCTGTGTGTGTATAACCTGCGGCTGGTGTGGGGACCGATCCGCCTGTCTGCTGACTGGGTCAATGTCACCAGCAGTCTGCTCAACAGTCAGGTCAGTGGTGCAGCAGTCTGTACAGCAGTCTGGCAGTCTGCTCAGTTGTCCAATAACACTGGGCCTGTCATCCATCTAGTATGGGTACCAGTCATCTGTCGAGTAGACAGGCCTGTGGTATGTTCAGTCGTATTGGATGTGTGCTGTAAGACCCCTGACAGCACTTAGTTCTCTGTGTGCTACAAATTGGTGAAAATGGCTCCAGTGATCATTACTCCTTGCAGCATCAATAAACAACCCATACCCACCAGCACGACTGTCTGGTAACACATGTGGCATCTGCATGCTGAATCTGTCAGCTTTATATCATTGCTGTGACCAGTGGCATACAGTGACTGCCCCATTTGTCATATGCTGCTGGCCTTGGCCACAGCGTCGTGCCACCGGGTCGCTCTCACCGCCATGACGCCTCTCTGCCGCTCAGGTGCATCGGCCACTGGCGCTGTGTCTACACGGCGTCTCTGTGGAGCAGTCTGCCCCTCCGCCGCCCTCGGCCGCCGCCGTCGCCGGTGGCGCCGGCTCCGGCCGCGCGGGCGGCGGCCGCCTCCTCTCGCTCGGCCAGTTCGCCGGCCTGTACCTGTACCAGGTGCGCGCCGGCTGCGCGGCGGCGGGCGAGCGCGAGCGCGCGCTCCTGGAGGTGGAGCGCGTCACACTCGAGGGCACGAACACCATCCACAACGAGCTGACGCTGGTGCTGCGCGCCGCCGGCCTGGTGGCGCAGCTGCTGCGCCACGGCGAGCCCGAGCTGCAGCTGGCGAGGCTGACGGCAGAGCTGGAGCTGCAGACAACCATACAGCAGGTGAGCTGCAGCTGCCGACGGCTGGTGAGCAGGTGAGCTGCAGCTGTGGATGGGTGGTGAGCAGGTGAGCTGCAGCTGCCGATGGCTGATGAGCAGGTGAGCTGCAGCTGCCGACGGGTGGTGAGCAGGTGAGCTGTAGCTGCCAACAGCTGATGAGCAGGTGAGGTGCTGCAGCGGACAGCTGGCGAGCAGGTGAGCTGCAGCTGCTGACAGCTAGCGAGCAGGTGAGCTGCAGCTGCCGAAAGCTGGTGAGCAAGTGAGGTGTAGCTGCCAATGGCTGGTGAGCAGGTGAGCTGCTGCATTGGACGGCTGGCGAGCAGGTGAGCTGCAGCTGCCGACGGCTGGTGAGCAGGTGAGCTGTAGCTGCCAATGGCTGATGAGCAGGTGGGCTGCTGTAGTGGACAGCTGGTAAACAAGTGAGCTGCTGCTGCAGAGGGCTGGTGAACAGGTGAGCTGCAGCTGCGGACGGGTTTCGAACGAAGCAATCTGGAAACAACGATTTGTGATAACAGGCTTCGTTTTGTTCAGGATCACCTAGCTTTTCTGTACGTGTGACATCACGCAAGAGAAGTAAAGGCCAAGTCCTTATATACTTCTGAACATATAGTAGTTATATGACTCATAGCTCACTCATGCAATGTTCAGATGTCACTTGGTTTGTTATTTAAGCCCTATAACTGCCCCGGGATTTTCCGTGCGAGTTTCATCCCACAGTTTATTACGAGCCATTTGTCTTCTTGTTGTGGTCAGATTGCAATCTGCCGGGCTCGTTGTAACCCTCGCGGCTGCCGGCATCGCTCTGTCTGCTGTTGTGTCCAGAATTGCGTCTTCATTTATATGACATTGCTTGGTGGCCCCCCGTGACCCCGGTGACCTCCACCTTTGTATGCCATCGGGCGTGTCATATATTATGCTCCCAACGTCGTTATACTGTTGGTTCCATCTCTCCCTCCGCCCTCCCCCCCCCCCCCCCTCTTCCCTCAGTACATTTGGTGACCCCATGAGTTTAAGCGATTATCAATCACACACATACGCACTTGCACGCGCATGTGCACACACGCACGCACGCACGCACGCACGCACGCACGCGTCTTGTAATATCATATCATCATTACCTCCCACGTCCAATGGAAACATGTCCCGCTGCGTTACCCACCTCGCCTCGTTAAAACGTCCCCCCTCTCCCATCACGAGCGCGCCACCTGATCGTCTGCCGTGACCGCCGCTGCAGACCGGGCAGCGGCCGCTGCTCTCGGACGTGTCGGTGCGGCTGGTGCAGCCGGACGTGCTGCTCTCGGACCGGCTGCTGGCGCTGCTGCCGTCGCCGCGGCCGGCCGCCGCGCCTGGCGCCGCCGCTGGCGCCGGCCCGCCGGCCTGGCTGGGCCGCCCTGGCGCCGCCCTCCGCCTCGCTCGCTTTCTCGGCGCTGGTGATGACGTCACTGCACGGCGAGCGCCGCCTCACCACGCGCCTCGGCGGCTGCCGGCTGGAGCTGAGCGTGGCGCCGCGGCTGGCCGAGGCGGGCGCCTCGCTGCGGCTCGAGGAGCTCGCCGTCGAGTCGGCGGCCGGCGGCCGGCTCGCCTCGCTCGCCAACCTGCAGGTGCGGGCGCGGCTCGGCGCGCGTGGAGGGTGGTGGGCGGCGGGCCGGGGACCTCTGTGCTGGTCAGGCCAGGCATGACAGCCTCAGGCCCTGCGTTTCAAACCTACGTGGGTCGGCTTGGACCGGCCCTTCGTGCTATTTCGTTCATAATTTTATGAAGCCCAGATGGTGGGGACTTTTGTGTTTGCCGACCTCTTACGCTGACGGTAGTGTGCCGCTGGAAGGTCTGCACCTGCTGCGATGCCGCGCCCACCCCGCCAGCGAGCCCCAGCCTTAGCTCCCCCCTCCCATGTCGTCGCCTCTTCCCCGCGCTACCCCCGCGTCGCCACGACTCCCCGCGTTACCCCCGCGTCACTGTCCACTCCCCTCCCCGGCTATCCTCTGTCACCGTCCACTCCCCTCCCCGCACTCCCCCGCTTCACCGCCCCTCCCCGCGCTACCCCCGCGTCACCGCCCCCCCCCCCCCCTCCCCTCTGGCAGTTGTCGGTGCGTGCTGAGGACCCGCTGGGCGCCGAGCCGTCGCTGGAGGCGGCCGTCGGCGGACACACGCTCCAGTTAGCGTACCACCACGCGGCCGTGGCCGACTGGCTGGCCCAGCTGGGCGTGGGGCCGACGGCGGCGCGCCGCTCCCCGCAGCGGGCCGTGCCCGCCGCCGGCCGCCGCTGGAAGGTGCGCCGGCTCGATGCCGAGCTCTGGGACGTCGAGAGCTGTCTGGTGCTGCCCGGCCTGCAGCCGGTGAGTGGGCGCCGCCGGCGGCGCGCGCGGCGCGTGGCCGCCCCTCCGCCGCGGCGGTGGCCGTCGTGGCGCGCGCGCGGCAGTCGTGGCTCTGCCGCGCGACTGTGGCCGGGTTTTGTTCCGGGAGGGTTGTGTGTTGTGGCTGATTTGTCAGGGGTTGGCTCCCGCTGTCTGTCATCTGCCGGCGGGGCGGAGCTGGTCAGTGCGTGACGCCGGTCGTGTCGACGGAGATTCGGGACTGGTCCCAACGGCCGTCCATCTGCGGCGCCTGTAACGGGCCCGGATCCAGGGTCTGGTAGCCTGACGGGACCTTGTCTTTGGGATTTTAACTCTGTCGTCCACCAGGCGGACGGTCCGGGCCCGGAGTTTGTGATTATGACGTTTATAATGACAATACACCGGAGTTTGTGATTATGACATGCATATCAGGGCCGTATCACGCGCCCAGGTGGCCGGTTGAATATCACACGTCCGGGTGGGTGTCAGTTTGACCCTTTCCCGCCCCCGAGATCTCACACGCGGAGAGATCTTAAAACACCACGTTCGAAGGGTGCGTTGTCCCGCATTTGAAATCACTGGTGTCAAAATTTAAGGCTTTTAGGTCATCACTTTCTGGTTGAATGATGTCAAAACATGGTCAAGCTGCTTTATTCAAACTGTTTCTGTTTTATCCTGCGTAACTGTTGCATATACGTTGATATGGGAGCTAGACAAGGAACTTTGTGGATGCTCCTGAAGGCATGTCTTTACCTATCTATAAACTCCAGATTGCTGTCCAAAGTGCTCGCAGACCTGCTCATGCATCCGCTTTGAACCTAGAGACCCGCTCTAAGCAAAAGGTCACTGGTGGTTATTTTAAGGTCAGTGGCCTTTTCGACCTTATGTAGACCATAAGATTGAACGATTTTCTCGAAATCGCCGTCGTTGACAGCCATTGCCTGACTCATCTGCCATATGACAGAGGCTAATTGTACTGAATCGCTCATCGTCTATCTCAGCCCCTCCCTCACCCACTCCCTGAACCCCTCTCATCCCCCTCTCACCCCTCTCACCCCTCTCACCCCCTCTCGCTGCTCTCTCAGCCCTCTCTCACCCCTCACATTCCTCTCTCACTCCTCTCTCACTCCCCTCTCGCCCCTCCCGCATCCCTCTCACCACTCTCTCATCCCCTCACCCACCCCTCTCACCCCTCTCACCTCTCTTTCACCCACTCACCCATCTCTCCCCCTCCCTCTCCCACTCACCCATCTTTCACCCTCCTCTCTCACCCCTCTCTCACAGCTTTCTCACCGCTCCCATCCAGGTGAGCACGTGCCTGACGCACGGTAAGCTGGGTGGCTCGCCGGCCTCGGCCGAGCTGGTGCTGGAGACCCTCACCTGCTGCTTCGGCGCCGCCGAGCCGGCCCAGCGCCGGCACGTGCTGGGCGCTGCGCTGGTGCTGGGCGTGCTGCTGGTCAACCATCGGCGCACGGACGCCGGGCGCCGCCAGCTGGGCGTCATGATGGACAATCTGCAGGTGCGGAGAGCGGGGGGAAGGGGGGAGGTGGTGTGATTTGGTCTGGTCCGGTCTGGTCTAGCGCGGGTTTGAGGAGTGTGTGACTTGTTTAGTGGCGTTGGGAGCTGTTGGCTGTGTATGTCGCTCCTTTCCTGATAAGTCATACTCGCCGAGGTGCGAAGATAAGACAGTAATATTAGCCTTATTCCTCGGAAAAAAAACAGGGGAATGGAGATATAGTTGGGTTGATATTTCGGCAACACGCCGTTATCGAAACAATAGCAGAAGTGAACGCACTGTTGCTATTGTTTCGATAACGGCATGTCGCCCGAAGTATCAACCCAACTATATCTCCATTCTCCTATTTTTTCTTCCGAGGAATAAGGCTATTGCTACCATATTGTCTATGTGAATCATGTTCCTTGCTAATGTACTGAACAATTTACGTAACTCGCCAAGGTGCTCGAAAGTCCTTGCTGTCCCCACGAGATTACTAAGCATCTTTCAACTATCTTATCCTATGCTATTGGAGACCCTTGGAAGTTGGAGAGTCCTGCGAAGTCCTGGTTTGCTATCGCACTGTACGTTTTTTGCGAAACAGGTAGCGATTATAAATGGGAAACGCATCACTGATGAGGCTCCAAGTGTTACCTGCAACAACCTGTCTTGCGCAAATGTGCGCAGACCGACCTGATTTGGGCGGGTTTGTATTGTGTAGTGGGGAGAGGAGGGAACGGAGGGGCGATGACCCTTGTGTGCCTCCCGTCACATGACAGATATTTGACTTGTTGCTCTCTGTCTGTTGTAAGCCCTCTGCCGGCCTGCAGAATGTGTTTAATGCATGCCACACGTGTGCTTGCCGTATTGTTGGTTTGACCTGCTGTGTCTGATCGCCACGGCCACTGTGCCGACCTTCCAACGCCCTATCCTGCTGCGTGGGACGTGCTGTTCGTGGCCTGCTGTGTGTGACATGCTCTCCATGACCTGCTGTGTGCGACCTGCTGTCCATGGCCTGCTGTGTGCGACCTGTTGTCCGTGGCCTGCTGTGTGTGACCTGCTGTCCATGACCTGCCTTGTGTGTCCTGCTCTCCGTGTCCCGCCGTGTGTGACCTTCTGTCCGTGCCCTGCCGCCGGTAACCTGTCCGTGCCCTGCCGCCGGTGGCCTGCCGTGTCTGACCTGCCGCGCGCTGTCGCAGCTGGAGGCCAGCGACTCGGCGGCGCGCCTGCTCAGGTTCGCCGTGGACTCGGCCCGGTGGCTGCGACCGACGCGGGAGACGGCGCCGGCCCGCCCGGCGCCCGACCCCGGCCCGGCGCCGGAGCTCAGCGTACAGGTCAGGGCAGGGTCTGGACTCCGGCAGGGACACCGGACCGGTGGGGCTCAGATCATGCGGCGCCGGGCCGGCTGCCAAACGTACAGGACTCGGTGTCCGGGCCGGGGCCGGCGCCGCCACTGCCGTCAGTCTCTTACGTTGGAGTCCGGCGCGCGGCGATTTTTGCGCGTTCCGTCGGCACTCACCCCTCTGCGGCGTCGATGACCGTAGGGGTCGTCCGCCTCGAGAAATAGTACCTTGTACTGAAACCTTGTACCTTGAAAAAATAGTACCCTGTACCCTGTATCCGTACTGAAATCCGTCTTATCCCACTCTGCCCATCTGACCCCCGTTCTCCCCCGTCGCAGGCGTCCAACCTGACGCTGTGCTGCGTGACGGGCGACCACTACGCCGCGCTCCGGCTGGACACGGTGGCGGTGGAGAGCGGCGCGCTCCTCACGGCGTCCGTCGAGCGGGTGGCGGTGGGCGTGGGCCGGCCGGCCGCCGCGCCGCCGCTGCCCTGCCACAAGGGCGCCGAGCTGGCCGACGCCGCGTGCCGCGTGGCGCGCTGCCGCGTGCGCGGCACGCTCGGCCGCGAGCTGGCCGCCTCCGTGCGCGACTCGGTGACGCTGCGATGGAGCCCGACAGCGCACCGCCATCTGAAGAGAGCGCTGGACGCGGCGGCGGGCTGGGCGGCGCTGGTGGCGGCCGGCTTCCCCGCGTCGGCCGCCGCCCCCGCCGCCGCCGCCGACGCCTCGCCGCGGCCGCAGACGAAGCTCAGCCTGCGCCTGCGCGCGGAATTCAGCCTGGAGGCGGCGCTGACGGCGCGGCGCCGGCTGGGCGTCACGCTGGCCGAGCTGGCGGTGACGCGCGAGAGCGGCGTGCTGGCGCTCAGCTCGGCGGAGCCGCGCGTCCTCTTCGACGGCCACCCGGTGCTGGTGCTGCACGCGCTGAGGGTAGAGCGCAACAGCCGTAACGCGGCCGCCGCCGCTCGCCGTGCGCCCATCGAGGATTTCGTGCTCAGGTGGGTGCTGCCGAGGAGCCGTGGGGCCGCAGGGCTGGAGCTGTCGGCTCGAGGGATGACCCAACCCGCGGCCACGTCTTGGCGTCCGGCGCGGATAGTCGTCGTCTCCCGGCCGTATTGTGTACGGATCGCTGTGCTGCGGTGGGGTATGACATGTTCTGGCCGTTAATGATGCGTGCTCTCTCACTGGCCGATGTCCGTTTGTTCCCACAAAGCTTGGCCTGCGGTGATGTCTGGCGTGGTGAGATATAAACCCGGCTTGCGGCGTGGTGCAGCCTGTTGGCTCCCGCTCGCAAACGTCACACATGGACCCCGCAGGGCAATGAGCCGCCTTTTACCCCCTCCTCCCATCCTCCTCGCAGAGAGAACGTGTGCTGGGAAGTGAGCCTGGCCCGGCTGGAGGCCTCCGTGCCCTACGGCTACGACTTCTCGGGCGCCTGGAACGAAGAGTTGCTGTCGGCGGTGCGCTGGCTGAAGCGGCTGCACGGTCGGCCCAGCGGCCCGGCCGGCGCCGACAGTCCCCTGCCGGCCGACCTCTGTGTCAAGGTCAGTGTCTGAGCCGACCTCTGTGTCAAGGTCAGTGCCTGAACCGACCTCGGGGTTAAGGTCAAAGTCTTAGATGACCTATGTGTCAAGGTCAGAGTCTGAGCTGACCTCGGGGTCAAGGTCAGAGTTGGAGCCGACCTCGGGGTCAAGGTCAGTGTCCGAGCCGACCTCTGGCTCGAGGTCAGAGTATCAATTGACCTCGGGGTCAAGGTATTGTCTGAGCTGTTCATGACTGCGTTTCATCGCGCCGCTAGTTCTAGCTCTAGAGTCTTACATCACGTCTGTGTGAGATGTGAGGGTCAGCTACCCAACCACCTGCTGAGCCAGGGTCGTGAACCTCCACGCTTCATACGACACGTGTCATATTCAAGGTTGTCATTAGTAGCTGTCGGTAGAAGCAAACGTACAGTGTGCGTGTGCGTGCGTGCGCGTGGACGCGTGCTTGGGTGCGTGTCAGTTCTGTGTTTTCTTACCAGACCATTGAAAAACATCAATGCTCCTATGCCAGCATAGTGTCGCGATGACCAAAACCAGTACTTAAGCCCATCTAAACTTCCTCTTCCTCCATCGTCAGATATAGCACCCCTCGACAGAGCTATGCGTCGATCTAATCATCAAAGCCGGGACTTTAGAATCCACTCTGCCCCCGCCGCCAGATAAGCACCTCTCGATGGAGCTGTGCGACGATCCTTTTGAGGTCAAGCTCCGTGACAACTACGAGCTGCTGGAGGACGAGTATCACGAGAGCATGAAGCGACGGCAAACGCTGGACGTCAAGATCGAAGGAGCAGCGTCGGCTACATGGACTGCTGCAGGCCAGGAAGGTACGCGTGGCACGGGACTGTTGATAGTCACGGGTCTGGTGGTGATTACGGGTCTGGTGGTGGTGACGGGTCTGGTGGTGACGGGTCTAGTGGTGATGACGGGTTGGTGATGACGGGTCTGGTGGTGGTGATGGGTCTGGCGGTGACGGGTCTGGTGGTGGTGACGGGTCTGGTGGTGATGACGGGTCTGGTGGTGACGAGTCTGGTGGTGGTGACGGGCCTGGTGATGATGACGGGTCTGGTGGTGACGGGTCTAGTGTGACGGGTCTAGTGGTGATGACGTGTCTGGTGGCGACAGGTCTGATGGTGGTGACTGGTCTGGTGATGGTGACGGGTCTGGTAGCGTTGACGGATTTTGTGGTGTTCATTGGTCTGCTGGTAGTGACAGGTCTACTGGTGCTGGTGGGTCTGGTACTGTTAGCATGTCTGCTAGTGTTGACATCTACTGGCATTGATAGATGGCATGGCGTTGGCATGCGTATTGATGCTGACCGGCGGGACGCTGCTGTCTGGGGCCGACAGTGAGGAGATATTCTCGGTGATAACGTGTCCGCGTGCGGCTGCTGGTCGGATGGTGTTGGCTGGGTCTGTCTGAAGGTCTGCGTTAATGGATCGTCCGGTACTGAAGTATCTGCTAGTGTTGGCGGATATGGGCTCCTGTTTTAATCCAGCATTCTCTGGCTGTCGCGGCAGCCTCGGTGACCTTGTAAAGACCGCACCACCAGGCAAGATCCCCTTTGACCCTGTGAACACCCCCATCCCCACTCAGAAGTCCCTGCGCCGCCGCCGCAGGTGGAGAGCCTGTACAGTCAGCTGCAGCAGCGGGACGCCCAGCTGTTCGTGCAGCGTGCGCAGAAGATGTACCAGGCCGACTCGCCGATGCGCACGCGCCTCTTCCTCTGGACGATGGAGGGGCTGGAGGTGGCGGCGCTGGCTGACCCTAGTCTGCACGGCCGGGACGCGTGCGTCGCCCATCTGCGCAACATCGACCCGCTCACCCCGTGGCCGGAGGATGACATACAGGTGAGACGCACCCAGTGGCGACGACAGGGAGGAGGGGGGGGGGGGGGGGGTAGGCTGACAGTAAAGGGGCGTGATTGGTGTTTTGGTAACGTGATTTGCGTTTTGGTGAGGCCATTGGTGTTGTGATGACGTCATTGGTGTTTTGGTGACGCCATTGGTGTTTTGGTGACGTCATTGGCTTTTTGGTGGCGT